TAGGCCGTACCTATCATTTCTTGTCAAAAACCGGATACCCCAAAATTATCGTGAACTGTGCCTTTACCGTTCCAAAAGGCCAAAATTCATCTGATGGTGTTCCGGCCTCTTCGCCTTATCCAGAGCCCAAAATCGAAAAACAAACTGAACACTGACAACTCGAGTAGGGTATTTGCGACTGAAAAGGTTTATTTTGACGCCACCTCTACACCTTCGTCGCCTACGTACCAATAGCAAGCAACGAAGGTGACGAGTTTGAAGCGCTCAATGTGGACTTGGGAATACTCCACAGAGAAGACCACACTTGATTGGGTGTCATTTTCTGTGAATTTAGCGCCGAGATTGGTCCCAGATGAATGGTTTCAGAAATGTATATCAAGAACTACGGAATGAAAATAGTTGGAATGAGCAGGGGGAGAGTGATCGATTTCATCGTGTCGGCCCACATCATCCATGGAAATTCGCACTTTCAAAGGCCTTTTGATTCGCGATGGACCTGGAAGTTACCTAATAGACAGCTACGTGACGATTTAGATTCATCTTCAATTGAAAATTTTGCCTGACTGGCGTGGATAAAAAATCGTCACAGGATCCGGTCATCGTCTCATCGGTGCTGGATTCTGTTTTACAGTAATTGAAGAGAGAATCACGAAGCACGGGGAACGAAACTCCGAGACCATCATCAATTGGAATTACTTCGCTATTCTTGCGTGCTTATGGGAAAATTCCTTTATTCACAAAATCGATGGGGAATATTGCCGACTTGTTACTTATCTCAAGGATGATGCTAGAAAAACAGAGTCTACAAGCCAAGGAACGTCTCTCTTTGAAGGCTCTTAGGCCGATACTTAACATCAGGTAGCTTGAGCTACAGGCAACCATCAACAAACATTCAAACTCGCAAAGCTATGCAGAGAAGCGATAAATGAAGATTCAGTAGGGATCGAGGCTGGGATGAACGTTTGCAAAGTCCGCAGCATTTGACAAATACAAGATCAGATGATTTCCCTTCACCGTTTTGATACATCACGATGAATAAGTCGTTCCCTCCCAAAATCGACATGCCAGCACGGTAGTGAAGAACTGTACGGCGGCCCAAGGATCAAGCCAGAAGATTTAGAGAGCTTCTCAGCAGTCATGGTCAAACCTCTGACTAGGCTCTTCATACGCTATCTGTCGGTACGTCGTTGAAAACAAGCAAGTACTGTTGCACGAAAATCACACCTTTACGTGCTATCTTTGGACTTGCAAACGTACGTTCGGGTGAATTTTGTGGAACGGAGTTTGATGGGTTGTCTGATGTTTAAAAAGGAAGTGTAATAGATCTTTAACAAGAGCAGGAAGCAAACCATGGTTTGCGTCTTTGCTGTGAAGAACTTGTGCAACTTTATGAAACAAGCACGATGTACAATCGCATGCTATGCTTCCACAGGATCTAGCACACAATGAATAAGCGGAATAGACGCTTTATTCAATCCGGCTGAAGTGTCATTTGGTTTCATCACTGCGCAATTATAGTTGAAGCATGATTCCCTGAACGTCCGCCGATTTTCGAAGTGGACTTCGGCAAAGGCACCTTCAGTGGGATAGCAGCTTAATGCACAAGCGGTGGTAGATGGTTACGATGAAACAGCTTCCAGTTGGTGGTGTGAAAATTGGACTAGGTGATCACGTGTGAATGATTTGCCACCGGAGATTTCTTTCTGTTAAATCGTACCCATACGCCAAGTTCGGCTTGCTGGTACGCTCGGAATAGAAATTGTTTGTCTATGCAAAATGAAAGCCTTTTTCATAGTTGCGACTATTTTGCTATTCGTGGAATAGATCACGACACTGACGCAGTGATCACGAAGCGACGGGGGCAGGGACAGCATAAGTAAGGTGGTGCTGTTCTGTGTTTGACGTCGTCGTACTTTTTTAAATACAGAGTTTATCTATTTTCACGGATTTTATTGTTATAATTGTTATTTTTGCAAGACATAGGCTATGCATTACCTAGAGCAGTGAGCAGTAAGGGCAAAGGATAGAGGAGACGCCGTGGTGAAGTGTTTCGTTTGCCGCTCTTCAATAAGACAGAGATCTAGCCCTGAATAGATTCGAGGTATTTGACGTTTCTTCACTGAAAAATGAAAATCTTCTGGATCTCTGCTATTGCTCTTAGTAGTGGTAGGATGAGTTTTTCCGCTGTTAGATTTTTTCGAATCTCAAGAAGAACGAGTTTGGTTATGCGGCAGCGACGTATCTTTTAAGAATACCTGTTAATTTTCGCTTACCTCATCAGCCCGTCAGTACTTCCTACTAGTTCAGTAAAACATTCGTGAAAGCCAATTGTTCTAAGCGTCAGGATCTCCTGCCAGTACTAGCACGATTTCTCCAACATCGGGCTGTGCGCGGAAGTTGTTTCCGCTTGTTCGTCGTTGCCATGGGTATATCGCGTAGCTCGGTCGAGTATTCTCTATAAGCCACTTGTTCAAGGAGTTTGGATGTTTTCTGCAAACTTGAAAGTTTCTTCGTTCCCTTCAGTGGGGTAATGGTTGGTTCCTCGCGAAATCTGAAGGATCAACTCTTGTGAGTAAACGTGTGTAACTCTATGGTCCCTCTGCATGTTACAATTGTTCTCATTTTTCTGTGCGAAAGTTTTCTACGTTCCACGAAAATGGTAATGCATTTTTTCCATTGCCCCTACAATTCTCTCCTACACGTCTTTAACCTGATTATCTTAGTGGGTGAATGAGGCGTGACCATTTTCAACATACAAACAGGTCCCTTATTGCAGCTCTACGCTTACGCTGTTATCATTGTGTGGTGGTCCACAGGCTAGCTAGACTACAAAAGAGGCACAGTTCTCGGACAGAAATTTCTGATGAATTGTTGTCAGTGAGGCAAATTGCATTTCATTTCATTTTTTGCAAGAGTTTCCGCTACTCCTTCTTAAATCCTATGTTAGGTGGCAGTTGCCACATCACTATAGAAGGCCGCTATTACTGGATTCCGTTCGGATAGTTTGGTCTACTTTCGGCTACGCATGCCACTAACAATACAGTGTGGCTCGAAAGTGAGTGAGTTCAGCTGACATTTCTATTTTTTCAATCACTTCGCGGCATTCCCATTTACCAAAGAGTAATTATTCCCAGTTTCAGTTATTTGACTTGGCCTAAAACTTGGCAACATTTGAAGGTATAGTGGTATCATAGTTATTATACAACGAAACATTCATGAAATTCCATGTACTGCCTACCACATCGTCTACATCTGAAAAGAGCAATAAAAGGCAAATAGGATGACCTTTGAATCGCCACCATGATCTCCACTGACTCCAATATGGCATTGGAAATAAAAAACCAGAAGGGCAATTCTGGAACTGAAAAGAGGAAGAAAGCTCCGTTAAGTGGGTCTTTGACACTTAATCGCAATTTGTTTTATAAAGCCATGAAATTAAAGAAGAAACTGATCTTCATGAAACAAGTGCAAGGAACGGTATATGGGATCCGAAAGAAATGAATAGCTTCAAAAGCGATTACGAATAATGAGTTATCTTTCTGGCGAGGAGGGGCAAGGTTTTCAATCTAAAAGAGCGAAATCTGATTTCTGATTGAGCTGCCACTCAGAATAGCAAAACTTTAAATGTACGGTGCGCCACAACTCTGGGGATGAATCTTTATGCAATGCCTAAAAAATATGATTTACGGAAAAGTCTTATCTTGCCTAATCAGATAACGATATAAGAGACTTTTTAACACACTGAACTACTTCTTCACGATGAGTGATAATGCCACATACGACATTTGGTTCGCAAAGCCGACTGATTATCAAAAAAAAGAAAAATGTGTGGAACAAAAACAAGGAAGGGCTTATTTGAAAGCATTTCGGCTTTCTTTTGGAGCAACACAATTCCAATATGAACCACAATTAAACCTAAGAACAAATCATACAGTCACAAATCCGCAACTACAAAATCTACAAAAGAGAACTAAGTAGTTCAACTGAAAAGCGGACAACCATCGCAGAAGCATGAATAACAGCAGTTTGGTAACTGCAAGTGCGCGAACGGTATACTTCAATGAACAGTGCTAACGCAATGCACTCAAAATCTATCACCACTCAAATAGCGCTGCCAAGGAAAAATAGATTGCAACTTTGGCTCAGCTAGCAATGGTCTGCAAGACTACATGGATTGTACACCACATACTGGTACAAACACAGGCAGGGTTAGTCCGGTCAAATCTACGAAATAGTTTAACAGCTAATATAGGAGATCGTAATTCTACATACACAACTTTTTGCTATCTACATTTCGACAGGACAAAAAAGCACTAGCATAAGCGTTACTTTCAAATTGAAAAGGAGATGCAGTGTCCTACACAAAACAAAACCCAGCACGACACGTTAGGGGTGTATGTCGTTTGGCGCGATGGGCGGGGTCGCGCCGCCCATTTGAGGCGGCGCGACTCCGCCCATCGCGACCTTCAACTCGTTCAGATCGCGTAATCTTACGCTCTTCTCTCCTCTATAGATGATACAAGCCTTGACATGATCTATAGAGAAGAGGGAGAGCAGAAGATTACGCGATCTGAACGAGTTGAACGGCGCGATGGGCGGAGTCGCGCCGCCTCAAATGGGCGACGCGACCCCGCCCATAACCCCAAACGACCGCCTCCCACACGTTAGTCTTACAGTAATCCCAACTGGGGGATTAGTGTCCCGCACAAGTGCATGTTATACTGTACTAACCCACTAGCTACCCCACCGCCCAACTCACGCCCTTACCCAAAGTCCCTCTTCGATGCGTCGTACATGTGGCAAGTAAAGATTTGTATATTCAAATAAAGTTGTGCCGTGAAAGGACACATCTTTTTTGTTGCGTTCCATGCGTTTTATTTTACGGTGAAGCTTTGTGAGACTAACGTGCCGTACTGAGTTCGCGTTTCCAATTCGCCGTGTTACACGATTAATGCAAAACAGTTACCGGGATTATAATTATGTTCAGTAGTATTGCGTCTTTATAAACATCCACACTCTTGCACTGTCATATCTTGATACCTCCTCATCACAACATTGCCATGATTATCGATGAAAAGGATTTTCGTCGGTGACAGCTGAATAGGGGCACACTTTGCCTCTTCAGCACGCTTCGGGTCCAGTAGGTGAACCTATACACGGATGTCAGCCGACCTCGATAATTGAATATGCATATAATTTGCTGAAGGAAACTAACCAAAGTCTGGACAATGGCGTGATTCGTCGCATTCATCTTGCTATGCATGGGCGAATCGCTAGAACAAGCGCCAGCGCAGAAATTCGTTGAGTAGCCTTCAGGTGCAATTACCCATTCCTAAATAAAAGGATTCACAATTATGCATCAACACTTCATATAAGCACGTTCATGATTTCAGCCGCGCTTCAAACATCATGCTCTTCTCTTCTCACTTTATCATACTCAGATTAAAATGCGGAGGGCGCGAGGTATTATTGCCACCACTCTTCCTTCCTCAATTCGTGGGTCCCGACGGAAACAAACACGCCTCAAGTGTTTTTCGCTTAAGTCTCTGTTCCTAGTGCAAAGATGGCTACGGAAATCGTAATTTCGCTACCATCATGACACAGTACTCGACATTCTCCAAAGGTGTTTGAGCGTGATATTTTCTTAGCCCCTCCAGTTACTTATATATTCAGCACCGCACGCTTGGCATTGAATTTTGTAGACGACTCTTATGCAGTCACCTGAAAGAAAACACAGTGCAATCTGCATGGCATCGAATGGGGATCAATCGTCGACAGAAGCTCCTTGGGGGTAGCTCCACAATTCTGACTTCTTGCGGTGGATCACACCTAATCAAACTCGCTCGAACTTCTCTGCTCACTTCTTCAGAAATGAATGGCATAACCGGTCCTGGGGTCTTCTGGTGTGAAGCGTTGTCTTGGGTATTGTTGGCCTGACTGGGGTCGACTTTCGACTTTCACGTTCTAAAGAATGGGAAGAGATCGACACGTTAGCCCAATAGAACCTCAAATCTTGGAAATGCTAAAGCTAGCAAACATTCAAATCAAAGCTCACGTCAAGGCTCGCGTCAAAGATTGAGAGAAAGCCGATCATGGTCTACTGAACAAAATGGTATGTCGTCTTTTTGTTATCAACTTCTGATAAGCCATTTGTAAGTTATACACTAATACCTTCAGTTTCGGGGCGCTCTTACCAGCACATGAGCACATGGAAGAATGTTTTTAGGACCAAGTTTCACACATCTCCGTCATGAAATGTTAACATGCTCAGGCTTGATACAGAGCAAAGAGAAACGAAAAAAACAAATGTGGTTGAAATTTTTGAATTCGGTAGAACGGTGTATTGTGAACAGTGCGATTCCACAAACTCACCCTCCATCCTATATCTGCGAAATTGAGATAGAGATTTTGAACATGACATCCCTCCACATCTTCTGAAATTGTATCACGTATCACAAACCAATTGGGTAACAAAAAACACTTTGATGAGATTCCTGAACTATTGCTTCGAAACCGCCCGAAATCTAGCCTATGAGTGTGGTGCAATAGAGTTAGGAATCTATGCAATTCTTGGAAAGTACCGCCCACTGTGAGCATCATCGGTGCGTTTCCTGCTTACATTCGTTGACCCATTCCGCATCTATATTCGAACTCTGCTGAATTATATGTGCTCTCATATTGCCCTATATCCCACCCAGCCCGAACTTGGCCCGACCTCTCCAGGTGCTTTCTCGGTTGATACATATATTCTAACAGCACTGGCGCACGCTCAGACCACAATGAGGACCTTCGCATCGTGAACGTGTGACTCACGCGCGACATCACTAGATTCTCTCGAGCAGCCTGCACGCGGCACCTTGCGCAGCAGATTACGTCTCGATTTCGATGTGGTCGCCACCTTGCTATTCAGTTGAGATAGACTAGATGAGATTTGCAGTAGTCCTTGGCTTTATCATAAACTGGTGCAAATTTCTTTACCATGGCAGTGAAGCACTTCGAGTCTAGGGATGTACTCCATTTTTCCCATTATGATGAAGCGCATGTTATAGCGCGCCTCCACGCGGGAACTGCACTTCATCCCCTTTGCAGACTCTCCGCCCACTATGGAAACTTTGCCTTACTCCCTTCAATGATCTCTGGCTGCTCTTCGCCAGTTTCTAAAAAGAATGTCTCGAATAGAGTTATGAATTTCCGCACCTTGACACTGCATCTCAGGATCACATCCCGCCCTTATGATAAAGCGACCACTATGCTTTTCGTGGCTATCACCCACCGTTAAACAAGGTTATGGCTTTCTGCAAGAAATTCCTTGTGGTTTGAAAACGCCCCATTCAGCGTAGGCGTAGCTTCGTTAAATTCACGCATGCCTGCTTATCTTAGACCTTCTTCACTTCTGGAAGTTTTTAGCTTCCAAGGTGTGGTGTAATAAAATAATGGATTTATGTAGAAAACACCGTCTGCGGATGAGTCTCTTTCACTTCATCCACTTAGTCACTCGTTCCCCTTCTCTCAATTTCCCGGTGTCTGGGCCAATACGAAACCGAAATGTTTGCTTTGGCTCCAACCGAGTGCATTTTCCGCCTAGCGTGGAAGGAGCTTCGTCGAGCTCACATGCACTCTGTTGACCTCGCTCTATGCCCCACCCGCCCCAAACTTGACTCAACCTTTCTCGGTGATTCCTTAGGTAATATAGAATTTTGTGACAGACACGACATGGACGCTTTATAAATAGTGAAGTCATTACTATTCAGGCTCATAGTTCGGAATTTCTTGGACTCATGTTACCATCACATAACAATTGAGATCATCAGTCTTTCCCAGTAGCAAACCATTGGTACAGATCAAACGCAGGCTGATGTCGCTGCACTGCATGGTGACAAACAATACATTGCTAGGCAACTGTCCAATCGAACTTTTGGACGAAGTTCAGCAGACACTTCTAGCCTCGGAGCAGATCCAGAAACTTTCCTTGTTTCTAGTCACCTACAACTATGGTCAGTTAATAGGATCGTTTGGGACTCTTTTCTAGTGAGTACGAAAGAAAACACCTAATTCAATCTTCAGCAAAAATAACCGCGCGGTTATCTTTTATTATCAAGATTTGACTGTAGTCTGAGGTGGGAACTAGGAATCCAAAAAGGCACTTCCCCAGCGAAGATTCCCTCAATTATGCTTCTAGAGCATCCAACCAAGACGTCGCCACAAACTCATATTCTACTTCGCCACGACAGCCCGCGATATTTACACCCAAAGATCGCCACACTAACACTATACAAAAAATTTGAATCGCAAATTTCAAGCGTCGGAACAGGCGAATCCTTTACAACATCCCCACCAGAGAAAAAAACGAAAACCTACCACGAGCGACCATGAACGGATTCGTTCTGACCGATTTACGGTCCCTTGGAGCAGAGATCGATGGTCCAGAGCTCACGTCTCTACGCGTTCTCGTTCTCAGAAGTGGAATGTGAGTTCTCTCATCCATAAAGGACGCAATAACGAAACTTTCTACTTCCACTTTTGACAAAGGAGTATCAGTGCCTGGAATTCACACTTTCCGCATGAAGATGAGCAACAGCAAATAATTTCAAGGCATCTTGCCCTCTATACTTACCATCCTCTACTCCAATAAAAAGTGTTGGATTGGACAACCCTTGCATCCAATTGGAAACCATTTGAGTAATATTGAACCACACAGTTGTCTCTCGCGAAGTTGCAATCGTAGAGTCGGTCAATGAGAGTGCGCCCGTTCTAGAAAAAACTGCAAGATATTACAATTACAGACAAAGAATTCCTCCGAAGTCGAGATGCCCACTGCTGCGCTCTCTATCATCCGGCTCGTTTGTTATTCTTTGTCTCCAAACAAGGTCATAAAGAAAACCCCTTGCAGCACGGCGAGCCGAGAAGAGCTCTTTAAAACTACCCTACTTTCTGGAACTTACAAGCTGGCTTCACACTGCGATAAACCACAGGCGACCAATGTGGAGCATGCTTCTACAGTGTCCCAAGATTAGACAGACCGGCGCCTTTTAATTGTGATGTGACTGAAGTTTCTGAGCTAATAATGACAAGGAATCTATGCGCTTGCTTGCTTGCACTCCGTGCTACAACAAAATACAACTAATTCTAGAAATATTCTCTAGGAGCGCGGATGAACTCTCAAACATGTTCTCGAGTGAATTTTTTGCATGTTCCAAGTGTAAGCACTCCATTTCGTCTTTACCACTATACATCTTGCTTTCAAAGAGTTAGAGCTGAGATTGCAACACAGTAGGTCCTCTTCTGATCAGGCCTCTTACGGAAGAGTTAAGTGGGCTAAGATCTGGAAAGCAGAATGGATATTCCCCCATGCTAACGAAGGCAGCGGGGGCGTCGGTGCCACTGTTGAACGAGCCTGACTCTGTGGGCTGGAGTGCAGTCCTGCTGTGAAAGATTACAGCAGGACGATCAGGATGTTCCAGAGAGCGGAGTAGTGTTCCAAGATCAATGCTTCAGTCCGTTATCAACATACTCCTCACGTACACGATTTTGTCAATATTCAAGCCGGTACCGACGAAACCAACGGCGTCTTACCACTGGCCACAACCACTGCCCCTTGATAAACATCATTTTGCTGTTCTTATAACTTTTTCGTAAGAGACTGCACCCTCGATGATTTTATCCCGAACGCTCGTTTCATTTCTTGAGGAATGAATTTTTGTTTCCTTTTTTTTCTGAAAACTCTAGCCGGCGAAAACGATGACGAGTTGCGTGCTTCCACTCAACTGGGAGAGTGAGCAATCTTCCGCCTTTTTGACTACACTGTTTGTTGTGATCGGGAATTAAGTGGCATTCTTTCACACGATACGAATGACAATCAAGCAGAAGCTTCAATCATTTATTTTAAGCTTCTGCTCGACACTACATCCCTCCGAAAACTTCGACATTTCCTGCTTCATTGACTTTCTTTTTTTGAGGGGTTACCTTGGACCGCGACCGATTCCTAAGCGGACTATTTCAACAGCCTTGTCTTTGGATCACTGGCCCTTCTACCACCTCCAGTGTGTCTCTGAATGATTCCGCTCTCCTGTATCGTTCTGTAGCTTTCTATTCGCATTCACTTCACTCGTTTCAGTCACTATTCGCATCACAAGAATGCTACTATGCCCTCCTGCCTCTTGCGTGTAAATGATTGCAAGTGGCATTCAATGAGCCACCATCTAAACGATATTGCGGGTCTAACTTCGATGATTACATCTTTGGCATCTTTCCGTTGAATGTTCCTTGAAGTTTGAAATAAAACAGTCATACAATTTACGTGAAGTACCATTCTGCCTTGGGTGAGCGACAGCCACAAGCGCAAATAAAAGCAAAAGTAAGGCATTGAATTGGATGGGGGTCAATAAAGGTTTTGAAACCCTTCAACGGAGCGAAACGGAGCAAGTCCACATCCTCCGCATGTGAAGGGAGAGCCACAACACTATGCCACGGTGACGCTTAATATCGAAGCGACACTTCGCATTTCCAATTAACACCACCGCCGAGCAAACTTCGATTCCCCAACATTTTATTAGAAAGCCACTTTGCAGTTAAAAATCTCACGTTCGTAAACAATTTCAAAAGTCTTTCGACTCACTGGATCTCCATTCTGAGTTCCGTGGCAGATAAGCTACCCCTCCCTGATAAGTCATGCCCGAAACCCATTTTGCGGTGCCTCAAAAGAGCAAAGCTCCGGTTAACAGGACTAAGCTTGTTCGAGAAGACAGGCCAAAGTGGATTGCCCTATGTTGTCGCCACATGTCATGGCATTAGTTCTCTGCAGATCCTGACTCCCTGACCCATTGTAATCCAAACAACAATAAGAACAATTTGTGCAGTGCTGGGTATGACAGTTTGAGGTCACTAAAAATGAAGAAATGTGTAAGGAACATATCGTGCAACGTTTCCAGTACTCGATAAAAAAAAAAACTTTGCCCAAATTTTGGAGATGTGGGGAGGGAAAGTTTGACTATCATATGTATTCAATGCGAATGAATTTATACATATACTCGCGTTTATTTGCCCCCGAGAAGCCGGTAATACCTGCAACATGCGCTCCCAGCAACAAGCAGAAGCTTGAATTGGAGAAAACAAATGAGAACCACTGCTCTGCAACTTACACATTATTCAGAATGTACACCTTCGCCACAGAGAAGTCTTTTGGTAAGAATATCCTCAACTGTGCTGCTATCAACTCAGGAGGGACTGTGTCTGGAAAATCGCCTCGATCGAACGTCACCGCAATGAGTCCGTTAGATAGTCGGGATTCTAAAGCAAGCAATATTCAATTGTGCATTAGCACGGGAGAAAACTTTTCAAATGAATACAACACAGCATCGGAATCTGAGAGTCATGGTCAAAGTTAACAAAGCAGCGCCTCGAACGTAATCAGAAAGTACTAGAGGAGTGAAGGACCGCAACTATCCTGTTTTTGCAACTACACCAGTGCTGTCCAAGGTCCACAGTTACTCTAATCTTGATCCGTGCTACTTTTTTTCCGTTGTGTGTGGATAAGTATGTATATGTATGTGTGTAGGTTATACATGTGAGTGGATGTGTATACTCGATGTGACCGTGAGTGTGTATGTATGCGTGCATGTTTGTACGTGCGTATGGGCCTAGGTGTGTATGTGAGCATGTGTGTGTATGTTTGTGCGTATTTGTATCCATGTGCACATGTATTCATGTAAATTTGTATATGTGGTAATGTGTATGAGATGTGTCCATGTAAGTATGTGTGCATGTGTACGTGTGTATGGCGTGTACGCATGTATGCGAGGATGTGTACATGTGATTTGCCTATGAATGTATGTATATGTATGTATAGGTGCGTATATATGCATGTGCGCATACGTGTATGTGTGTGTGCGTACTGTGTATGTGGATGCATGTGTATGTGTGTGCATATGTGTATATGTATGTGTATGTGTGTATGCGCATGCTTGCAGATTTGTATGGTACATGAGTGCGTACATGTGTGTATGTGCGTGTGTGTCTAAGTATGTGTGGATGTGTGTATATGATGTGTTCCTGTATCTGTTGTGTGTATTGGTGGTTATGTTGGTAAACGCTCAGGGTGATCTTATCCATATATTATTGTTGCAATATAAACCACAGCTCGGTATAAGGGCAGGTCATTTCTCTCCTCTACTTCGCATTCGCCTCCGGCTGTATCTGTACAGTGTCTTCCAATAAATCGACATATCCAGTTATCTGTTCAACAGCAAGGCTACCACGACAACGCGCGTATGTATGTATTTGTGTATGGGATGTACGCGTGTGTATATATGCATATGTGTAGGTGTGGGTGAGGTGCAGGTGTGTTGGCAAGAGGGGAGAGGCCGGTAAAACGGCAGTATGGCCGTGACCACCCCTGAGGCAGCGAGCGATTGATCTGGCGGGAACAGAGAGGGGTATAAAAGAGGATTCTTTTTGCAGGTAGTAGAGTCTCCCCGAAGGAACGACCCACCGCCCTCCCTTCGGGCGGTCATTGCCGTCTTTTTATTCGTAATTTGTTTATTCGCTGTTTGTTCATATTCTCGCGTTTTTTTGTTGTTGTTTGGTCGCTAATAAATCTAACCCGAACTGTTGTACTGTTTACCAAGCACGTTAGGAGGGGGGACACCATAAACCCCACATGGGGGCCGAACCAAACTAAGCGTGCGTAAACAGTAAACAGTACTACAGGGTTTGATTACGGAGATCAAGCCGAGGGAAGCAGCAAGCTTGGGCTCGTGATACAGGGCGACCCAAAACTGTTAGTGGAGACAGCTTGGCTCGTGGTACAGGGCGAGCCAAGGCTGTAAGTAACGATCGATTGATCCAAAGACAGGTGAATCACAGGGGCTGTAACAGATTGCCCAAGGGATCAATCGATCGTGGACATTCAACCACGTTGTAGTGACGTCGTGTGTATTCGCGTCCGCTGAGTTAATAGTAAAGATAAGTAACTGCAGGTCGTTACAGTTACTAACTGAAGTTACTAAAAATGGTGGGCCGAGACGAAGACGAGGTCAATATGGAAGAAGGCGTCGAGGAATTTCTTCAGGAACCTGGAGTGAGTTCAGATGAATTCGCCTTCCCACTTGAAATGATAAGTAAGGAATTGAAGAGGATAGGCGGTCTTTTGAAACAAGTACCACGGGTCGTAAACGAGGAGGTGAGAGAACATAAGGTTTCCGGTCGGTACAAAGAGAGACATGCGGATATAGTGAGGCGAGAAGTGGATAAGATCTGCGAAGAAGTGGAGATGTTGGCATGTAATTGCAAGATCACAACCGTGATCAAACAGGGAATATTCAAGGTTTTGCACATGAGAGGGATAGAAACAGAGGAGGATTGGGAGCAGTACATCTGCACCATAGAGAAG